TCCACTGCTTCTTCTCTCATCTCCTGAATGAAGGTGGGCAGGCTTGCATTCCGCGAAAAGACCGACTGCCCATAGGCAGCTGCCTCGGCGCTGGCCTTTCCGAGGCTTCCAGGCTTTAGGGTTTAGGGTTTAGGGCTTAGGGTTTAGGGTTTAGGGTTTAAGGTTTAGGGTTTAGGGTTAACCCCAAATAAACCCTAAACCCTAAACCCTAAACCCTAAACCGTAGGCGGGCTTAGGGCTTGGGTAGAGCATCAGGAGACTGGGTAGGTAAGGTCACAAGTACCGTAACCCTCTTACAGTATCAGTCATGAGTAAGTATCGCTGTAGTCGTCTTGCTTACAACCCTACACCCTAAACCCTAAACCCTAAAGTCGTCTTGCTTACAACCCGACTTACTGCGTCATCCTTCGAGTCGGCTTACTTAACAATTAAGGTTTAGGGTTTAGGGTTTAGGGTTTAGGGTTTAGGGTTTATTTGGTTTTGGAGCCCATTATACTATAGTTATAATAAGGAACCCCCAAAATAGTGTAGGTAATTACAGCGGACATTCCGGGTGGGTGGAGGGTGTATAGGTTACGGTTTGGGTTTAGGGCTCAGGGTCGAGTAATGAGCTCAGGGCCTGAGGTTTGAAGATTACTGTAAGGCTTCCGGGTTCGGGATATCCCACGCCGAAAATCCAAAGAAACGTGTCAGCCCTGGCCATAGAGCCGTAAATCCTGGCTGGGGACTTCGTACTTGGAGGTTCATGGGTAGTTATAAGTATATAGGGTTATAAGTAGGGTAACTATAGTCATAAGCTATATTAGGGGACTTATAACTCCACTTATAAGTACCCATGAACCTCTAAGCAAGTAGCTAGAACACGTAGTCGGCCGCACTGGCAAACCTACACCCTTCGTCAATGAGTTCTTAAAGTCTTAAACCAGTTCGTCGTGCCTTAGTACATCCTAAACCATGAACCATGAAACCCTAAACTCTAAACCCACGAAACCCTAAACCCTAAACCCTAAGCCCATGAAACTCTAAACCCACGAAACCCCAAACCTAAACCCACGAAATCCTAAACCCTAAACCCATGACGCCCTACAGTTAAACCCCTTACGACACTTGTACCCAGAGACTCCCACCAGAGACTCCAATATCCTTTAATTAAGGAATATACCTTAAGTTATAGTAGGCTCCCTAATATGATTTAAGGTACACTCCCCTAAACCCTTACCCTGATTCCTGAATTAAGGGATATTGGATGCTCTGGGTATACCCTAAACCCTAAACCCTAAACCGTAGCTGTGGCGGCTCACTTTAGCTGCTAGTGTAGGGGCTTTAACAGTTAGAATAAGGGTTTAGGGAATATAATGCTATAACTATACTAAGGAATAAGGTTTTAGGGTATATGAAAGAAAAATAATAGTAGTAAGGAGCCCCCCGAAATACTACTGGTAATTATTTAGGCTTCTATATTAGGCGCTGGAACCGAACCCCAAACCCAGGAGATTCGCAAACTTACGAGGATCTCAACAGGCCCCCCTCAGCAACCCAAAGGCTCCGGAACGAAAGTAGACCAACCATCAAGTAGGGTTTAAGGGTTTAGAGTTTAGGGTTTAGGGTTTAGGGTTTAGGGAAGACCTGAACATCAAAAAAGACCCGGGTAAACAGCGCCAACAACACCTCAAGCTAACAACGCCAAAACACACCCAAAAAAATATTAAAAGATGCCTAACAGCACCTGACTAGGGAAAATAAAAACCACAAGATCCGAACAGGAAGTGCCCTAGAGCCTAGGCCCTAGGCCTGCAGCTCTCTAGGCTCGCAGGGCGTCTGCAGCTGCCGCCCGATCTTGCCGAACAGCATGCCTGAGGCTAAAGGGCTCAAGCTTTAGCGTTTAGGGTTTAGGGTTTAGGGTGTAGGGTTTAGGGTTTAGGCTTCAAGCTTTAGATTTTAGGGTTTGCGTTTAGGATTTAGGGTTTAAGGTGCCCCGGTTTAGGGTCTATGTGAAGTTTAGGGCTGAAGGCTTGAGGTTCAGGGTTTAGAGGGGTTTAGGATTCAGGGCTTAGGGTGCCGCGGTTTAGGTTTTGGGTTTTGGGTTTGGGGTTTTGGGTTTTGGGTTTAGGGTTTTGGGTTTTGGGGCTTAGAGTTTAGAGTTTCGGGTTTGGGCTTTATGGCATCAAGGCAAAGCCCAAAAAGATGCGGAGTTTTTAGTAAGGGTTTAGGGTTTAGGGTTTAGGGTTCTTGAAAGGGTTCAGCGAGGGTTCTGTAAGGGCTCAGCATGGCTGTAACGGTTTCGAGTTTAAGGATCAGGTACTACTATTTCGGGGTGAGAGTCCAGGGTTTCAAGTCCCCAAATAAGTATGTGACAATAACATACCCCAAAAACCATGGTCCAAGTTTTAATAAAATTTAAGCCTCTCGAAAAACCCAGGTGCTAAGCAGCACCACGTCCAGGAAGTAGGCGTTGGCAGCCACCTTTGATCAAAGCTTTGAGGTTTCACTGGGTTTTCACGAGACTCCTCCCAATATTACCCTGAACTCCAGGCTTAGTTAAGCCTGGAACTCCAAAGAACCCCTGAACCCTAAACTTTAAACCCTAACCCTAAACCCTAAACCCCTGAACCCTAAACTTTAAGCCCTAACCCTAAACCCTAAACCCCTGAACCCTAAACTTTACACCCTAACCCTAAACCCTAAACCCCTGAACCCCAAACCCTAAAAACGTGAGACTTTAGAGGCCTAAGAACTTCCTTTCTGTTGATGGACAAAATCCTGCATTACCCATTATAAGGAATATACCATAATTCCCATAGTTTAAGGTCCTTAAGGTCATGCAGGATTTTGTCCATCAACAGTTCCTCAGCCCCAAAGCGCAGGAACTCAACCCCGACGGGGTAGTATCTCAAGCTTTCAACCCGAAGGGGCGAACGCTTCTTCGGGGCCTCCCGGGCGCCGTTGAGTTTAGGGTTCAGGGTTTAGGGTTTTGGGGTTTTGGGTTTAGGGTTTAGGGTTTTCCGATTTAGGGTTTAGGGTTTCAGGCTTGGGGTTCAGGGGTTGAGGTTTGAACTTCGCAATGCCTCCTGACTCCTGCAAGCGAAACTTGGGTTCAAGAAGCTTTCATTGCAGTTTCGTGCGCTTTTTCTAGGGCATGGGGGGACGGGGCGTGGAAATATTGCCAGGTCTTCGCACATTCCAGGTTTAGGGCTTTCAGCTTAATGGATTAAGGGTTTAGGATGTAAGGTAGAGTCTTTGAGAGTTGGAATAGCTTTTGAACTACATTACAAGATCAGGGTTTGGGGTTTAGGGTTTTGGGGCACAGGGGCTGCAAAGGGATACATTGATTGTTCGAGCCCCTGAAGTAGCAGGCTTGGTACAGGTAGACGAGCCCACAGTTTAGGATTTAGGGTTTAGGGTTTAGTGGGTTGAGGGTTTAGG